TATAAACAAACAGAAACTTAATATATCACCTTTATGCTCAAGTCTTGGGGAGTCCTGATCGATGTCACAGTGTCACAACCTGCACTTGTCATATAAGCATCTACTAGTTACTATAATATATATCTGAAAGCGAATAATTTAGAAAACTAACTTGAAAAATAGCACACCAATTGTTTTTATAATAGTTAAATTGTCTTAATCTATAGGAAGAAATAACCCGAAACTTGCTAGGGAAAATAAAGAAGAAAATAAAAAATTAATTAAAAAAAATTAAAACAACATCTTCTACTTTGAATTTGAACATGAAAATAACCGTAATATAACCGTAATAGGTTATGACAAAGTAACAAAACATTAAAAGAGATGGTGTTTTTATTGTAAGCTGTCTCTCAAAGCACTATTCAATATTTTAATAATATTTTTTTTTCAATTTCATTCTATAATATTTGGTTTGTTGTAGATTAAGCATCATAATTTATTTCAATTTTCTTTATATAAGGTCATATTAGCCTGATGAATCAAATCGTAGAATTGACGAGTTAATATGGTTGGCTCATTTTTTTTCCTTTTTTTTATTCATTGATTTTTTTTTAATTTCATCATTCGATGTTTTATTGATCATGAATTAGGCTCCACAATTTGTTTTGAGCTATTTTCTATGAGGTTATTCATGTCTTATGACCCAAGTTACAGGTTTAGTGGGTTAACCTAGGTTAACTCGATACAGGTATTTTGGTTTTTTGTTTTAATTTTTTTTTTATTTTCATCCTTCAATATTAGGTTAATTGAGATTTGTGCTTTATAATTTATTTCGGTTTATTTTCTATGGGATTATTTTATTTTTATGACCTAGATCACGGGTTCGACAAGTTAACCCGAGTTGTCTCGGGTTATTTTATATGAAGTTATCCTAGTGTTATGATCTAGGTTACGAATTTAACATGTTAACCTGTGTTGACGCGATCATTTTTTTATATTATTTTTAAATTTAATTTCTTTTTAAATTTTGTCCTTTAACATTGAGTTGCTTGAGAATTTAGTTTTATAATTTATTTTTTATTTACTTTCTTTGAGGTTATCTTGGTTTCATGACCCGAGTCACTAATTTTATAGGTTAACCTAAATTGACTCAAATTATCTTTTTATCTTCTTTTTTTAACAAGTTTTTCTTCAATTTCATCCTTTAACATAAGATTGATTAAAAATTGTGCTTCATAATTTATTTTGATTTGTTTTTCATTGAGTTATCTCAACTTCATGACCTAGATCACAGATTTGACAAGTTAACTCGAGTTAACTCGGATTGTTTTTTTTTTTTTCTATGAGATTATTTTAGTCTTGTAATCAAGGCCACGAGTTTAGCATGTTAACCCGAGTTGAATCAATTGTTAATTATATCCTTTTTATTTTATTTTTAATAAAATTTATTATTTAGTATTTGGTTGATCATGAATTAAGTTTCATAATTTATTTTTTTTATTTTTTTTCTATAAGGTTATTCTGATTTCATGACTTGAGTCACTAGTTTGATAAGTTAACTCATGTTAATTATGAAATTTTCTTAATACATTCTTCAATATTAGGTTAATTAAAAATTATATTTTACAATTTATTTAAATTTGTTTTTGTGAAGTTATCATGGTGTTATGACTATGGTTGTAAATTTGACAAGTTAATATGAGTTGTCCCAGCCAATCTAATATGTTGTCATTTCAATATATACATTTTAAAAAAATATTGTCTTGAATTTTTATTTAATAAAACTATATTTTTACTAGTTGTTCGAGTTGTCATTATACCCACTGAGTTTAGCAAGTTATATCAAATCAACCTTTATATTATTTTATTTTATTTTTTGTTAGAAAAAACATTAACAATGTCTGAACATTTTTATTTCAAGTTGAAACAATATTTGATTCGATCCGTATCACTAATATAAGTCAATGATCTAGTTAATTCTAATAGAAAACATGATGCATAAACATTTTAGTAAAATTTTAGTTCAATCTAACAATAATATATATATATATATATATATATATATATTTTCATTTAAAAAAATCAATTGCTCTTCTCAACTTCTTCTTTTTATAAACATGCATGCTAGACATTAACAAAAAAAACTAAATCATGTGGTGATATTACTGTTCATATAGACTCATGCAACTGTAGATTACAATAGTAATCCACACTGTATTCCTTTTTTTTTCTTAGTTTTTTTTGCACTTTTTCATTTTTTCCCCCAACTTTCCACTTTTTTTTATTTTTTTTCCCTGTAGTTTTTTATTTTTTTTTCCAAAATTACTTTCCTTTTTTTTTTCAACTGTCTTTTCTTTCTTTTTATTTTTTAAATATTGAACTAGTTAAATTTTGCTTTGTAATTTTTTTTTAAAAAATATTCTGGATTGCAACTGTGTTTTTCCACATAATTTTTCAATTTTATTTTTTTATTTTTCAAAATATACTTGTCAATTTTATTTTTTTTATATTGAGCTAATTAATAATTTAGTTTTGTAATTTTTTCTTTAAAATATTTTTGATTGCTACAATATTTCTCCACGTGTGTTTTTTTGTTTCTTTATATTTTTCTCTGAAATTATCTTTTTTTATTTTATTTTTTAATATTAAAATTGTTAAAAATTACAGTTACAGTTATGAGGAAATCACTATAACTTTCTTTACAAATTACTGTGGATTGCTACAATATTTTTTTTCACATAGGTTTTTTCTGTTTTGTTATGTTTTTCCCTAAAATTATCTTTGTTAATTTTATTTTTTAAATATTGAGCTGGTTAAAAATTATAATTACAATTTTTTTCCTCATAAAATACTATGAATTGATACAGTTTTTCCTCACATGGTTTTTTTACAGTTTCTTTTGTGTTTTTTTTTCTAATATTTTTTTTTAAAATTATCTTTGTTGATTTTATTTTTTTAATATTGAGTTGGTTAGAATTTAACTTCAATATGGATTATAATAGTAATACATAGTGCATTTCTCTTCTTCTTTTTTTCATTTTTTTTATGCACCTTTTCTTTTTGTTTTTCCAACTTTCCTGTTTTTTCATTTATTTTTTTTTCAAAATTACTTTCCTGTTTTTTCTCCTACTTGCCTCTTATTTTTTTTCCAAAATTATTTTTGTTGATTTTAATTTTTAAATATGGAACTGGTTAAAATTTTGCTTTGTAATTTTTTTTAAAATACTATGCATTGCTATGGTGTTTTCCTACATAGTTTTTCTATTTTATTTTTTTATATTGAACTGACTGAAAATTTAGTTTTCTAATTTTTTTTCTGTAAAAAATTGTTGATTAGTATAGTGTTTCTCCGTATTTTGTTTTATGATTTTCTCTAAAATTATCTTTTTTTTTTATTTTTATATTTTAATATTGATTTAGTTAAAAATTATAGTTATAATATGTGAGGAATGCACTGTAACTTTCCTCGTAAATTACTGTGGATTGCTACAATATTTTTTCCCACACGGTTTTTTTTCTGTTTTGTTGTGTTTTTTCCTAAAATTATCTTTGTTAATTTTATTTTTTAAATATTGAGCTGGTTAGAAATTGCAATTACAAGTAAATACAAGTTTTTTCTCACAAAACACTATGGATTGATACAGTTTTTCCTCCCTTGGTTTTTTTCCAGTTTTTTTTTAATTATTTTTCAAAATTATCTTTATCAATTTTATTTTTTAAATATTGAGTCGGTTATAATTTAACTTTGTAATAAAGTTTAATCATATAGGGAAAGCTCTGTAACTTTTTTCACAAAACATTGTGGATTGTTACAGTAAATCTCCACATGGTTTTTTTTATGATTTTTTTCAAATTATCTTTGTCAATTTTATTTTTTTAATATTAAACTGGTTGAGATTTACAATTGCAAGTCATTACAAATAATACTAAATCATGTGAGGAAGTGTAATAGCTTTCATCACAAAATATTGTGATTTTTTTAATATTGAGCTGGTTGATAATTACAATTGCAAGTCATTACAAATAATACTAAATCATGTGAGGAAGTGTAATAGCTTTCATCACAAAATATTGTGAATTGCTAAAGTGTTTCTAACATGGTTTCCCTTTCTTTTTTTTGGTGTTATTTTTTGTTATTTTTTTCTAAAATTATCTCTGTCGATTTGATTTTTTTAATATTGAGCTAATTAAGAATTTAGCTTAGTAATGTTTTTTAAAACATTGTGAATTATTGCAATGTTTTTCCATATTATTTTTTTATGATTTTTTTTCAAAATTATCTTTGTCAATTTTTTTTTTGAATATCAAGTTGGTTAAGAATTATAATTATAATAAAGCTAAATCATATAGGGAAAGCATTATAGTTTTTCTCATAAAATATAGTGGATTGATTCAGTATTTTTCTAAATAGTTTTTATTTTATTTTATTGGGAAAAACATTGTAGTTTTCCTCATAAAACATTGTCAATTGCTATAATATTTTTTCTTATGGGTTTTTTTCCTTTCAAAATTATCTTTGTTGGTTTTTTTTTATATTAAGTTGTTAGAGAATTTATCTTTGTAATTTTTTTTACTTTTTATTAACAGAAAAACAAAATCATGTGGAGAAAATATTGTATTTTTCCTTACAAAATACTATAGATTACTACAAATTATTTTCTTCAATCTTTAAATTTTTTATTACCAGCATAATTTTTTTTCCGTGATAAAATATTAGCTCTATTATATATTTAATTTCTATTATTTATTTAATATTAGTTTATAATTATAACCTATTAAATATGTTTGTTTTATAAATTAACGGCAACGCCCGGACATGCATTCGTTCACTGTAAAAAAAAATACCAAGTAGTTAACGAATTTGAAATTATGAGAATAAAATCTGAAATACATGGAAATAAAGGATTAATTATTTGTTCTGTAAAAATATAGGGATGGAGTTGAAATTGACTAAAAGAAAATTCAACGAAAACTACGCACGTGTAGTGGTGAACAGAACACTGATTGAAGTGCTTATCTTGTCCAAAGAAACTATATCCTTTTTCTAATTAATATGGTTTCGTCTTTTTCAAAATTCACTGCTCTCTCTCTTGTCCATCTCAGATCATAAGCCAATTTCTTGAATCTTGATATATAAATTTAGAGATAATAGCTTCCTCCTTCTTTCTGTCTTTCTGTTTATTCTTGATTTGAAACAGGTGACGCCAGTGCTGTAAAGTATCTCAAGAAAATCTGAAGCTTCGATAAGAAATCCAGGTTAGAGCTAGTGACAATTTTTTAATGCCCTAATGACAGATTTCATAATGGCATCACATCTTTCATGAGTTGCAACTAGCTTCACATGGCTTCCTCACATGATCTTTATTCGAATTCAAACAAGCTGAACGAACACAACACTTTATGCATCGGCAAGGCATGTGGGGCTGCCTGGATCTTGAGGAATAAAGGGTCAGGCACCTGTTGCTGGAAAATCTCAGCTCTTTAATTAATCAACTTGTCATGTTGTTATGCTGCAACTTAGATTTTCTTGCTTTGAATGGTTCAGTTGTTGAGGTTTTAAGGGTAGAAGTTTGTTGAAGGAGTGAAATGAAAACTTTCCAAAAAAAATAGGATGACAGGGAGATATAGGATAGGACCTCCTTAGTCATTGACTTTTGTTGAAAGAAAATGTCAAAAAATTAACAGAAGAAACAAGGAAAGAGGTAGAAAAAATGAGAGTGAATGTGAGATAGATCTTAATAATTGGTGCTAAAGAAAGGGTTTGTATATAAGATCACAGATCTTCATTTGCCAGCTAATTCCAGGAATGGACTCTCCTCTTGTCATAAAATTGATGGATTGTGCTAAGGCAATTGCAGATGGTGACCTGAAATTTGCAGATCAGCTTTTTAGCGATATGGAATCCCTGTCAGCTGCGGAAACCAACCGAGTGACGAAAAAAGTCGTCGAGTATTTTGCTGAAGCTCTAGCCCGGAGAGTCCATGGAGTGCATCCTCGAAATCCTTTCCCATTACTTCCTTCCTCAAATTTAAAGAAGATCAGCTATGAACCTTCTCCTCTTGAATGGTTTGCTTGTATGTCCACGGACTATGCCATTCGTGATGTCTTAGATGTTAAAAAAAATAAGCTCCACCTTATTGAGATTTCCAGCTTGGTAGACTGCTGGCAGCGGCATAGTTTGGAGGAATACCTCATACATGCGCACCATGGCATGCCCTTGTCATTCCAGTACACCAGTATTAGACCAAAACTGTCAAAAAATGATGATTATCTTCAAGAAAACCGACGGATGATCACTGAAGTAGCCCAGAGGTCTCGGGTTGATTTCAAGTATAGAGCATTGTTTGCTGATAGTGTACCTGATATAGTAGAGTCTGTGTTGAGACTTGAAAGAACAAGCGAGGATGAGATAATAATTGTGAGATGGGTGTTTCAACTCCACAAATTGCTTGCACTTGAAGGAGCAGTTGATAAAGTGTTGTCAAAACTGAAAGACCTAAAGCCAGATATCATGGTAATTGTTGAACAGGAAGCTGACAATAACACTGACGATTTCTTCTACCGGTTTGCCACATCATTCAAATACTACCTCAACCTTTTTGAATCTCTAGAGCTCTATGCAACCAACTTAAGCTCCCTGATTTGGGAAAGACATTTGAGGTGGCAGATATGCAATGTGGTTGCAAGTGAAGGCATTGACCGGATTGAACGGCATGAGACATTGGCTCGCTGGCAACAACGACTGTATGGTGCTAGGTTCTGTTCAGTTGCCTTATGTTCCGACCAGTTTGCTGATTTTTTATATGATTTCTCAGCGTATAAAATAGAAGAAAATAGCGGATTTCCTGTGCTGTTGGCAGCAGGTCACCCGCTAATCTTCGCATCAGTTTGGAAACCTGCTAGTGCAACTCATTTCAGTGGTGGTGAATGATCTCATTTCACTCCCTCTTCTTTTGCTATATATTCAATCACCAAGCATATGTTCATTTGTGTTTTCTTGTTTTCTGAACTCTCAATCACTTGGGTCAATGAGCACAGAAAATATTGGCAATTCAGATGACACAATGAGAGGGACTGACCTTAATCATCCTATCACAATACAAGAAGAAAGTACATCTCCAGTAGTTGAGCCAGAGGCAGTAAGCTCTTCAGAGTTTGCTGAGCCAGAGGTAGTAAGCTCTTCAGAGTCTGATGACGACAATGAGTACGTTTATAATAGAATAAGGAGATTGACGCACGGAAAGATATGGTCTGTAGAGGTAACGTTCTGTATTTGTGAGATTTTGGTCAATTTGTTGATTCATTCCTTATGGTTAGTCTAAAGATGAACGCCCAAACCCTCAATTTCCTAAATATTTATCCTCGTTTTATCGCCTTACTGATGACAAACTATAATGTAGCTTAAAATGTGATAATATTTCTAGGAGGTACGAGAATATTTGGTTTCTCCTTTGAAAGAGAAGGAATCAAAAAGACTCAGCAGGTGGAAGTCTCGTCAACTTACCAGGTATCTGCACAAAAATCATGCTTGATCTTAACAATTATATGGCCCATCAAGTAGGTCAATTATGAAAATTGACTTGAAAGCTTATAGGAATGTTGCTGGACGGGATAAGCAATTGAATGTTACCGATACATCACTTGCAAGTCTGCTTAGGATTCCTCCATCAAGCACCCCAATACGCGAGGAGAAACAATATTATGTTGATGATTCGGTATGTATAGTTCAGTTCCTCCTTCCCCCCTTATTTTCAACTTCGGTGTTGCAATTAAAAATACATAAACTATTGTTTATATATGTGTCTTTATAACAAGGTTATAAATGCATTTTTCGACTTGCTGAAGAAGAGACAGGAGAAGTTTCCAGACTGGTACAAGAGGAACTCCTCATTGCCAACTTGGACAATGGTAAGGGTGATTAAAACTTGGCCGTCTTTTGCTTCTCTTTATTCATTGTCGTTAACCTGTGTTCATTGTCATGGCCAAATTTACAAGACCTTCTTGCTTTCTGGAAAATGGACCATGACAAAACTACTATCTTGCATAAACATTGAAGACATAGCAGGCACAGCAAAGGTATCCCTGAATGTTTTAGCTCTCCTAGTTATTTCAATGGCTGCTTGCAACTTGTTTAACTCTTTCTCCAACTCGCCTTCATATTTAGTTGTTCATACCGTTGTGCTTGGAAAATCATTGGATCCTCATTTGCGTTGACATGGAGAAACGGGAATTTCTTTGGTTAGATTCATTAAATTCTCCTCCTGATGCTCATCATACGGAAAAGACTACAATTTCGGAGTGGCTTGTAAAGCACCTACTACCAGTGTTGGGCTATCGTAATTCACAGCAATTGAAATTAAAGCAACTCAGTATTCCATACCAAACAAAGTAAGTAGCAAACGATATTGATATGAACATGCTCCAAAATGATACCGACTCTAAAAAGTTTTAACTTTTTGTTGCACAAACAGTCGAATAGACTGTGGCATATTTGTGATGAAGTATGCTGATTGTCTTGCACATTGCGATCACTTCCCTTTTACACAACAAGACATGCCTCACTTTCGGCTTCGAGTCTTTCTGGACATATATCGTGGGAGACTACCTGTGCCACCCAGCCATGTTAGATTCTTAAGAGCCTTGTATAAGATATAGGATTCTCTGTTTGATGGATGATCCTTCCACTTGTTATGTGGAGAGAAATGCAGGAAGCTGTCTTATAACTAAGGTACTAACGCAGGGCCTTTTCGCTCCTGTTCCTACTTCTGTGATAGAAGGTTGAGGGAGTGGGGGCGAATGGAGCAAGCTATTTAAGAGTAATTGTTTTACACTTAAATATATATGATAATTGATGGGAGACACGCATGATGATAAAAACACTCACAGAACTTTAACAACATTATATTCGCAATTAGGGTAATTTTATTGCGTATTCTTTTATATATATAATATGTATGTATTTCTTCTCATACTTTTTTATCACCTTAATGCTATTTCCTAACCACCACAAGTTATATACATATTTAGCCCTTGTTTTATCCCTTTTATTATAAGGAGAAGTTTGAATCTAACATTTTATAATTAATAATGGACATAGAAGTCACTTGAATTACATACTGGTTGAGCCTTCTTTTCTTTTTCATTTTTAATTTGGTGAATTACATACTGGTTGAGCCTTCTTTTTTTCTTTTTCATTTTTAATTTAGTGATTTTGTGCATGTCCCATCAATGGTGTCATGAAAAATCAAATTTAGAAGACACATGGAAAAAAGAAAAAACATTTCTTCTAATGAAATAAATGTATTTGTTAAAAGAAAAGGAAATACATTAATAAAGAAATATAATTTAGATTGAAGAGATACATCTTTTTTCTACTTGTTTTAAATTTTACAAAAAAGTTTTTTTAATTTCTTTTATTATTTATTCAAGAAACAGGCTACTAATAAAAAAAAGAATAATTTATTTAATAAAGTATTTTAAATTGTAACATTTTATATAGATATCTATTTTAATCACAAAAAAATTAAATAAAAAAAATTTAAAGAACAAATGATAAATGTGCAAGCGTTAAAATATAGCATGGTGGAGCCATAATCTTAACAGATATCAGCAATGCCTCGGTACTTTAGCAATGCCATGATAACTTTTGCTGCCATGGTTTCAAACAGATATTTTTAATTTTTTTTTTATATATAATTAATTAAAATTAATAAAAAATAAATAAAAAAACATGTTTTCATTAAAAAAACAAAACACATGTAGCTTTTTGTTTGATTAGACAGGTTGCCATGATAACTTTTGCTGCCATGGTTTAAAACAGATATTTTTAATTTTTTTTTTATATATAATTAATTAAAATTAATAAAAAATAAATAAAAAAACATGTTTTCATTAAAAAAACAAAACACATGTAGCTTTTTGTTTGATTAGACAGGTGGTTAAAATTCTATTTTCGAACATTTCAATCTGAACACACATTCTCCGCGGCTAACCGTGGCCTTAACACGTATCATGGGAATGACCAGCAAATCATTACAGTTTGAACATTGTACACAATTTAAAATATAAAAAGCTACGTGGGGTTAAAAAATTAATATAAAAGTCTTTGAGCATGAAAATGTATAAGCATATCAATATTTTATGATGATTTAATTTTAATTAGAAAAATAAAAATAGTTAAGTTCAAACTTATAACCTATTGAACAAAACTTTGAAATCTTGATTTCTAAAATGATATTTTCACATAATAAGAATGGAATTTTCTACAAGATTAATTTGGTATTTAGCTTTCTTATTTGTTTTGATTATCATGGTATTGTGTACTCGTTATGTTGGGGAACAAATCCGACTCTCAATTTATACATGATAAAATTAAATATAAAATTTTTATTATAAAACTATTAAAATTATAAGGAAAAAAAATTAAATAATTGACAAATACTTAGATATTTTTCAAGGACTAAGTTTCAAGGGCAGGGTAAACATTAAGCTTCATTTTCCCTTTTCATCCGTTCATTTATTTATTTGTTTTCTAATTTGACCTTATTACAATTTTTATTTTTTTTTAAGATTGGACTTAACAGGGTTTTCTTATTGGCTATATAAGGGGATCTCCTGATGTTGAGGAAATATGTGGTGCTTAGTTGATAATTAATTTTGAAAATTAAAACTAAATTCAGCTAATATAAAATAATTAAGTATCAAGAAACCAGAATTTAAACTAAAATAAATATGGGCACTATGATAAACGAGCAAGGAAAAAAGGTTGGTTTGTGCGACACACGTGTTAGCAAATGAGAAGCTTTCAAAGTGTTAAAGCTACGCATGAGTTGTATTTTAATTGCCAAATGACAACTTCCATAATAACATTGAAAGTGCCAACCACTCTCTTTCTGGTGATGTAATGTGTGTCAATAGTGATATAGCGATGGCGCTCCGACAAAAATCTTGTTCTCATTCCTTGTTTCTCTCTCATTTTCTTGAAAATTGGTGATGTAATGTGTGTCAATAGTGATATAGCGATGGCGCTCTGACAAAAATCTTGTTCTCATTCCTTGTTTCTCTCTCATTTTCTTGAAAATTGTATTAGTTTAAATTTTTAAAAAAATATTATATTTTTTTTTTATTATATTAAATTCAATCATTATTTTTTTATTAATTTTTTTTATTTTGAGTTTTTTTTTTTTAATTTTGCTGATTAGCATTTAGTTTCATTTGATTTTTATATTATATTTGATTTTTATTTTTTTAATTGATATTTATTTTTCTATCCTTTTATTAATTAAATTTATTTCTCAATTTCATTCCTCAATATTTTATTTCATTTTATTTTTATGTCAAATTTAATCCTTATTCTTTTTAATTGATTTTTTTTTGCTTTCGATCTTTTTTAAATTAAATTAAAATTTTTTATTTTATCTTTTAACATTGGGTTAGTTAGAAATTACTCTTCATAATCTTTTCAATGTGGTGATGTTAGTCTCATGACCTGGATTACAAGTATTAAACATTAATCCAGATTGATATCAGTTTTTTTTAATCTTTGTTTATATTGATTTTCTTTTTTAATTTTATTTGCAAAATTAGATTTATTGGGAATAGAGTTTCATATTTTTTTTTTTTGCTTTACTTTTGTAAGATTATCATAATCTCATGTTATAAATCTTGTCCAACGGATTTGTCAAAGTTAGCTTAATCTTGCCTTTTAAGTTATTTTTTAATATTGAATATTTCACGGCTCCACTTTTTAACATTTTGTTTCTTTAGAAGTTAGGTTTCATTTTTTGTTTTGTTTTTCTTTCTATTAGATTTTTTCATTTGCATTATCCATCTAATGAGGTTTGATAACTTTACTCATATTTGCAATTATTTTATTTTTTTAGGTTTGTTTTTGTTTAACTATTTTTTTAATTTTACTCTTTTACATTTTGGTTATTGGAAGTTGGGCATCATCATTATTTTTTATTTTCTTTCAATTAACCTTGTCTTATGATTTGAATGACAAGTTTATGATGTTGACTTGGGTCAATTTAGATATTTTTTAATTATTTTTTATTATGTTTTAGTTTTTTTTTTGAACATCATGTTTTTTTGGAATTCAACTTTTTTATTACATGTGGAAAATGTTCTTATATATATATCTAGGTTATCATTATCACTTTTTATTACTATATCCTAACCATCACAATTATATCTTGCATCAAAAGTTATATAGCCCTTGTTTTCCATTTTATTATAAGGAGAAGTTTGAATCTAACATTTTATAATGAATAATGGACATAGAAGTCACTTGAATTGCATACTTGTTGAACTTTTTTTTTTCATTTTTAATTTAGTGATTTTGTGCATGTCCCATCAATGGTGTAAAGATAAATCAAATTTAGAATACACATGATTTTTTTTTAATAATTATTTCCTTTTTAGTATCATTGAAGTTTTTTGTTTTTCATTTTATTTTGTAACGTTGCTCAAGATCTTAATAACTAGAAAAATAGCTTTAAACGTACTAACAATTGGAGACATTTAAAAAATATTAAGATTATAATATAATTTTTAAAAATATTTTACAAATTGCTTTTTATCTGGAAAAAATATTAAATTGATATTTAAAAAAAAAATTAATGTACTAATATTAAAAATAAAAAATATTTTAATTAAAAAATATTATTAAAAAACATTATTCATCAGATTACCAAATACATTGACAGACATGATGAAAGATTATTTTTTCTTCACATTTGTCGCTTATTTCATACATGTTGATTTATGCTCAAGCTAGCCACATACAGTATCAAGTTGTTTTTACAATAAATGAAATTATGTATCTTCTCTTACAGGTATAAAATAAAACTCAGCACTAATATTTAATTTTAGAATGGCTAAACCCATTAATATCCTGTATTTGTTTTTACCAATTCATCAAAAAACTTTATTTGTTATCAAATCAATTGAGTGAATAATTTTTTTAAATTTGAAAATAGTACCTAATTGATCGAATTGATAACAAAGTGGTTTTGTGGTTAATAACATGCTTTAGCTATTCTAGAATCTAAACATATACTAATGAGTGATAACACTTATACATATTATACTATATTTTAAAATATACAAGAAAAATATTATATATGTATTGTAGATATAAATTTATTATGATATGAACAACAATATAGCGCACATAAGATGTATTTTTTTTGCTATGTTTTTAGTTAAAAAGTATCGTTGGGGCATTGTCTTTTCTATAACAAGAGTTATTGGGTTTGATTTAGTAGTAGACTCAATACTATTAAATTTAAATTAAAAATCATACCTAAATATTGTAGATTATTGCCTTTTTTTATTTTTTGTGATAAAAGCTACTGGGTCTAGCTTGACAATGAGACCCAACATTATTATGGTTGGCTGGGCATCCATACCCAAATTCTATACCAAAAGTTATTGGGTCTGGCTGCCCAATATTGCTGGGTCTGCCTGGGTAGCCAGACCAAATAATATTAAGTCTATTTTAGCAATCAGATCCAAGAGATTAGGTCTGGCTACACAACTTTTTTCTTGTTAACATATTTTTTATTTTATTTTTTTCATATGGTAAAGAGAAAATAAATTGATGAGACTTTTTTTATATTGTAAAAAAGTTGGGTAATGATAATTTTTTTCATTTGAGGTTGGGTTGAATTTTCTTATCAAAGTATATTTGTTTTTGTATTTCAAAAATGCTTTAAAAAATTAATATTTTTTTTTGTTAATAAAAATTAATATTTTTTTTATATTTTTGTATTATTTTGATGTGATGATATAATTTTTTTTTTTTTAAATAACCGTTACGTACTAATATAATAACTAGAATAATGACTTGTGCTCCACGACATGTGAATAACAATTTTT